TATTTCAATCAAACGTATAACAACATTTTAACTTTTTAAACATTTTAACAGGTCACGTTACATTTAACATAGGACCCCTTATTTGATAGCAGCTTCACAAGTCTTGCATCCATTGAATTTGTGAGTGGCTACTAGAATAGTGGCTGGGTGGTAGTGCACAGCCAAAACACTCGAAGAAATAGGAAAGCTTTATCACTGATCTACAGGGAGTGCAGAATTATTAGGCAAATGAGTATTTTGACCACATCATCCTCTTTATGCATGTTGTCTTACTCCAAGCTGTATAGGCTCGAAAGCCTACTACCAATTAAGCATATTAGGTGATGTGCATCTCTGTAATGAGAAGGGGTGTGGTCTAATGACATCAACACCCTATATCAGGTGTGCATAATTATTAGGCAACTTCCTTTCCTTTGGCAAAATGGGTCAAAAGAAGGACTTGACAGGCTCAGAAAAGTCAAAAATAGTGAGATATCTTGCAGAGGGATGCAGCACTCTTAAAATTGCAAAGCTTCTGAAGCGTGATCATCGAACAATCAAGCGTTTCATTCAAAATAGTCAACAGGGTCGCAAGAAGCGTGTGGAAAAACCAAGGCGCAAAATAACTGCCCATGAACTGAGAAAGTCAAGCGTGCAGCTGCCACGATGCCACTTGCCACCAGTTTGGCCATATTTCAGAGCTGCAACATCACTGGAGTGCCCAAAAGCACAAGGTGTGCAATACTCAGAGACATGGCCAAGGTAAGAAAGGCTGAAAGACGACCACCACTGAACAAGACACACAAGCTGAAACGTCAAGACTGGGCCAAGAAATATCTCAAGACTGATTTTTCTAGGTTTTATGGACTGATGAAATGAGAGTGAGTCTTGATGGGCCAGATGGATGGGCCCGTGGCTGGATTGGTAAAGGGCAGAGAGCTCCAGTCCGACTCAGGCGCCAGCAAGGTGGAGGTGGAGTACTGGTTTGGGCTGGTATCATCAAAGATGAGCTTGTGGGTTGAGGATGGAGTCAAGCTCAACTCCCAGTCCTACTGCCAGTTCCTGGAAGACACCTTCTTCAAGCAGTGGTACAGGAAGAAGTGCATCCTTCAAGAAAAACATGATTTTCATGCAGGACAATGCTCCATCACATGCGTTCAAGTACTCCACAGCGTGGCTGGCAAGAAAGGGTATAAAAGAAGAAAATCTAATGACATGGCCTCCTTGTTCACCTGATCTGAACCCCATTGAGAACCTGTGGTCCATCATCAAATGTGAGATTTACAAGGAGGGAAAACAGTACACCTCTCTGAACAGTGTATGGGAGGCTGTGGTTGCTGCTGCACGCAATGTTGATGGTGAACAGATCAAAACACTGACAGAATCCATGGATGGCAGGCTTTTGAGTGTCCTTACAAAGAAAGGTGGCTATATTGGTCACTGATTTGTTTTTGTTTTGTTTTTGAATGTCAGAAATGTATATTTGTGAATGTTGAGATGTTATATTGGTTTCACTGGTAATAATAAATAATTTAAATGGGTATATATTTGTTTTTTGTTAAGTTGCCTAATAATTATGCACAGTAATAGTCACCTGCACACAGATATCCCCCTAACATAGCTAAAACTAAAAACAAACTAAAAACTACTTCAAAAAATATTCAGCTTTGATATTAATGAGTTTTTTGGGTTCATTGAGAACATGGTTGTTGTTCAATAATAAAATTAATCCTCAAAAATACAACTTGCCTAATAATTCTGCACTCCCTGTATATGTAAAAACAGTTAGATGTATGTAGCCGTAGGGAAGTAACAAAAATACTTGTTATCATATAATCCATGAATTGGTGGTACTCGGCAGGCTAGAGCATGGGTATCCAAGCTTTTAACTTTATATATACATATACACACACACACACACACACACACAATTAAAGACCTATACACATAATCGCAGACACACGCACCCATACAATCACAGACCTATACGCACAATCACATGCATAGACATACATAACCACACAGGTACGCACAGACACACACACAATCACATACATACACACAATCAATCACAGACCCCCCGCCCCACACACACATTTACACACCTATAACATAATCACTGATATAACCACACACAATCACAGATCTATACACACACAATCATATACACACACACACACACAATCATACCCACACGCACACATACAATCACATACCTACATACATACACAAAATCACCCGCCTATACACACATAATCACTGATATACACACACACAAAATTACAGACATTTACACAGAAACACATACATACACACACATGCAACCAGACCCATGCACACACATACAATTACATATCTATACACACAATCACATACACACACACTAAAATCACACAACCTATACACACACAGATAAAATCACAGACCTATACAGAGAATCACATACATACAAACACATGCTCACAGATACACTCACACACAGTCACAGACCATCACACATTATCAAAGACCCACACACATAATCACAAACTTACACACACAATCACAGACATATCCTCAGACCCAGAAGCTATACAGTATCATAACAAGTGATCAGATCAATCACTCATCAAGGATGTAATGGCTGAAGGGTAGAAAGGGCATAACCCTAAGAAATAATTACAGATAAAGTAGAGGCTGGAATGGGTTAACTCCCAATTACAGTCTCAAACCCTGAATATGACTGCTCCGTTAATATAGAGCCATAGATTGCGGAATCATGGAGCATAAATAGAACTAAAAATAATAAATAAACTTTATTGGTCCCTCTTAGGGGATAGGGAAAGTATAAAGCATACAATCCCAAAAATACATCAAATAAGTAATGAAAAAGAAGATACATTTGAAAAAAGTGTATATAGTGTGTATTACGAATAGAATAGGATCATCTAGTTTTATTAAAAGATGTTGAAAACGATAAGGTATTGTGACCATATAAATGTATGTAACCATAGTTGATAGAAATAATCGTTGCCTGCTATTTAGTAACAGTTACTGACAGCTTGTTTGTAACATTATATCAGCAAGGTAAGAAAGTAACAGGTAGCCACTAGGATTACCCCTTTTCCTTTTGCGCAGCAAAACCAGTGTCTGCACGTGCAGTGGCTGCCTAATCGGAGTAAATATAATTAGAGTATTAAATAACAATCAACATCAATTTAGAGATGAAAGGCCACACTATTAGTCCGTGGGTATATAAAGCTGGGTATCTGCAAACAGCGATCGGCAGTCAAATTTGAACTATTCGTTAGTCTAGATGTAAACCGACACAAAATCTACAGTCCCAATTGTGACACCCCCATAAGGTACCCCACAAAAAATGGTAGAAGAACCTGGGAAACAAGTGATATTAAGTCCGGCCAAACAATAAATAGAGGTAGGAATAATCCTCTATGATGGTATAAATGACCATATAATTTAGTCCAGACTCATTCATTGAAAGGGTGATGTACACAGACCCCACGTAAGAATTAAATAATGTGCCCTAAGTGATATAAATAAACCCTTGATCAAGTACGATATATACTAGGTGAAGTCAACTATAAGATGATCCTAAGTAAGATTAATAGTAATCAAAAAAAGAAGAAAAACGCTCAACACGCGTTTCGGCACAGATGTGTGCCTTTTTTAATAGCTAAACCATACTTTTTCCACCTGCACTGTGAATGTTTACATGGTGTATTCAATAAAAAAAATGGCAACATTTCATTCTTTGTGTGTTATTAGTTTAAGAAGACTGTGATTGTCTATTGTTGTGACTTAGATGATGATCAGATCACATTTTATGACCAATTTGTGCAGAAATCCATATCATTCCAATGGGTTCACATACTTTTTCTTGCAACTGTATATATTAAAATTCTACGTGCATATTTAAGTAATCTTTTAACATAATTATGTCATTTAATTAATTACAATTTGATTGACATGCCTGACAACCCAGGCAGAAAGTGCAGAGAATTTTACTTTCAAGCACTATATTTAACCCGGTATCTTTCCAAAACACCATAAAACCTGTACATGGGAGGGTACTGTTTTACTCGGGAGACTTAGCTGAACACAAATATTAGTGTTTCAAAATGATAAATTGTATTACAACAATGATATTTTTAGTAAAAGTGAAATTTTAGCATTTTTCACACACGGACAGCACTTTTACTGACGATATTATTGTTGTACTATGTTTTACTGTTTTGAAGCACTTATGTTTGTGTCCAGTGAAGTCTCCCAAGTATAACAGTACCCCCAATGTACAGGTTTTATGGTGTTTTGGAAAGTTAGAAAGTCAAAAAGCTTGCATTTCATTTTGTTCACATCGAAATTCACCAGATTGGTTATGTTGCCTTCAAGACCGTATGGTAGCCCAAGAATGAGAATTACCCCCATGATGGCATATAATTTGCAAAAGAACCCAAGGTATTGCAAATGGGGAATGTCCAGTCATTTTTAGTAGCCACCTAGTCACAAACACTGGCCAAATTATTTGTTATTTTCTTTTTTCACACAAAAACAAATATGAACGTTAACTTTGGCCAGTGTTTGTGACTAAGTGGCTACTATAAAGACTGGACATACCCCAACTGCAATACCGTGGGTTGTCTACTTTTGCAATGGTATGCCATCATGGGGGTAATTCTCATTCCTGGGCTACCATACGGTCTCAAAGGCAAGATTACTAATCCGGCAAATTTTAATATAAAAAAAAAAAAAAGAAAAATGGAATGTGCTATATTTGACCATGTAACTTTCCAAAACACCGTAAAATCTGTTAATGCGGAGTACTGTTGTACTCGTGAGACTTTGCTGAACACAAATATGTGTATTTTATTGCAGTAAACACTAACAGTATTATGACATTCACAGCTAAAATGTCAGGCAGAACTACAATTTAAAAAAAAAATAATTAATTTTTCACAGTTGTTTTCATTTTATTCATAATAAATTATATTTCATATATGAATAGTTCATGATAAATTAAAGCCCTGTTTCTCCTGAATAAAATGATATATAATAAGTGTGGGTGTACTCAACATGAAAGAGGTGAATTACGGTTGAACAGACATGTAGCGCAAATTCCACTTTTTGTTTACATTTTGTTTTGATCAGAACGTGTACTATTGACTCCGTCCTGAAGCGGTTAATAAAATGAATGGTTATTTTTTCCATTGTTTATTTATATCTTTGCTCATTTAACAATAAAACCAATTCATTTTTTTCCAAAAAATTTATTCAGTATTCTGTAAAAAATGTTTTAAAAAAAGTATATTTCATTTCAGTTATATCGATACTGTATGTTCAGCCTTGTAATGACAATGTTTGCCAGCGAGGTCACTGGAATAATATTGTGTCAGAGACAAATCCTTAACATGAACCCCAAAATGTTTAGCATTATCCGATCAATCAGCGTTACTGAGCGCAGATATACAGGGGATCTATGACTAGCGACAGCTGTTAATGGATTAATTAAACAATAGGTAATTCTATATAAAAACCTAATGGAATTAAAAACGGGCTCATATTTACAATTAAAAATAATCTTTGCCAAGATCAGAGCCAGATATTAAATAGTCTGAAAAATATGATTCACTTAATTTAATTAAAATGAATGAATGGGATTTAAATTGTACTGATTGCTCCTCTGTCATTCATAATGGTTTTATTCCCAATATTTGAACAAGCCGTAACACACAATCAAACTATGAAGGTCTTGGACATACAGCTAATCAAACCATCAATGAGATAAAAATAAGAATATAGAAATAGTTATAGGATAACGCCGGGGATAACGCCAGTATGGGGAGGGCGGGTATTAACCTACCGATGTCAGGGGAGGTTTCAGTAAGGCAGAGAGTGACAAATGTTTCCATAGAATGTTATTGTGACAGTAACAATGGGCGATGTCATGTTACAGGTTTAATGCCATTGATGGGCTCGATTTAATAAGCTTTGCAAACAATTCAATACTATTAGAAAACTTTTAAAGTGATTTATCTACATTTTAAATCATTAAAGTGTATAGGAATTTTTATAGTTAAATCATTTGTAAAGGTTTCCAACAATGTTGAATTATTTGGAAAGTTTATTAAATCGAGGCCTATATGTCTTATAATTATTATTATTATTTTATTATTTATATAGTGCCATCAGATTCCGTAGCGCTGTACAAAGGGTGATTTAATTAAATATTAGTTGTACCTGTAATACAACCTATTTCTTGGACGAACCCGCCATGCATGAAGCCAGTCAGTCCCACGTCCCCCCTCGCTCTGGTTTTGGCGAAACCGGCCTCGCCACGTGTCCTTGGAGGGGGCTGCTTGCCCGCCTCTTGCCTTTGGACTATGGACCAGACTTTATGTGAATGTGTTAACCCAGATAGCTATGCCATGGAGCCCATTCGTGTAGTTAAAGACTTCGGCTCCATGGCAATTGAACTGTGTGAATAGGATCTGAGCGCTATTCGGTAGTTTTGTGCGCTCAGATCCCAGCTATCTGGGGATATGTGACATGTCTGTGTTTTATGTGTAAAATGTGACTTTGTGTATTTTATAATATTTTAATGCTTTGTGCTCACCATGTGCATAATGGAGTCTTGTGTCTGTCCTGGGAGATAATTGAATTACTTCTCAATTCAATCTCCAGGATAGAAGACTGTGAAACTGGTTTGGGCCGGAAAGCCATGCTTCATTTAGTCACAAAGGACTTTCCCTTAATTTTTGAACCCCTGGTCTGATTCGTGCTATTTTTTAATATGTTGTTCCCCTGAATGGATTGATTATGAAAATGTATGTTTTATGTTTGTGACATGTATACAGGGAGTGCAGAATTATTAGGCAAATGAGTATTTTGACCACATCATCCTCTTTATGCATGTTGTCTTACTCCAAGCTGTATAGGCTCGAAAGCCTACTACCAATTAAGCATATTAGGTGATGTGCATCTCTGTAATGAGAAGGGGTGTGGTCTAATGACATCAACACCCTATATCAGGTGTGCATAATTATTAGGCAACTTCCTTTCCTTTGGCAAAATGGGTCAAAAGAAGGACTTGACAGGCTCAGAAAAGTCAAAAATAGTGATATATCTTGCAGAGGGATGCAGCACTCTTAAAATTGCAAAGCTTCTGAAGCGTGATCATCGAACAATCAAGCGTTTCATTCAAAATAGTCAACAGGGTCGCAAGAAGCGTGTGGAAAAACCAAGGCGCAAAATAACTGCCCATGAACTGAGAAAAGTCAAGCGTGCAGCTGCCACGATGCCACTTGCCACCAGTTTGGCCATATTTCAGAGCTGCAACATCACTGGAGTGCCCAAAAGCACAAGGTGTGCAATACTCAGAGACATGGCCAAGGTAAGAAAGGCTGAAAGACGACCACCACTGAACAAGACACACAAGCTGAAACGTCAAGACTGGGCCAAGAAATATCTCAAGACTGATTTTTCTAAGGTTTTATGGACTGATGAAATGAGAGTGAGTCTTGATGGGCCAGATGGATGGGCCCGTGGCTGGATTGGTAAAGGGCAGAGAGCTCCAGTCTGACTCAGACGCCAGCAAGGTGGAGGTGGAGTACTGGTTTGGGCTGGTATCATCAAAGATGAGCTTGTGGGGCCTTTTCGGGTTGAGGATGGAGTCAAGTTCAACTCCCAGTCCTACTGCCAGTTCCTGGAAGACACCTTCTTCAAGCAGTGGTACAGGAAGAAGTCTGCATCCTTCAAGAAAAACATGATTTTCATGCAGGACAATGCTCCATCACACGCGTCCAAGTACTCCACAGCGTGGCTGGCAAGAAAGGGTATAAAAGAAGAAAATCTAATGACATGGCCTCCTTGTTCACCTGATCTGAACCCCATTGAGAACCTGTGGTCCATCATCAAATGTGAGATTTACAAGGAGGGAAAACAGTACACCTCTCTGAACAGTGTCTGGGAGGCTGTGGTTGCTGCTGCACGCAATGTTGATGGTGAACAGATCAAAACACTGACAGAATCCATGGATGGCAGGCTTTTGAGTGTCCTTGCAAAGAAAGGTGGCTATATTGGTCACTGATTTGTTTTTGTTTTGTTTTTGAATGTCAGAAATGTATATTTGTGAATGTTGAGATGTTATATTGGTTTCACTGGTAATAATAAATAATTGAAATGGGTATATATTTGTTTTTTTGTTAAGTTGCCTAATAATTATGCACAGTAATAGTCACCTGCACACACAGATATCCCCCTAACATAGCTATAACTAAAAACAAACTAAAAACTACTTCCAAAAATATTCAGCTTTGATATTAATGAGTTTTTTGGGTTCATTGAGAACATGGTTGTTGTTCAATAATAAAATTAATCCTCCAAAATACAACTTGCCTAATAATTCTGAACTCCCTGTATTTTAGAAGTTATAAATATTGTGTAAAAACTGTATTCCTCTGCCGGTGATAATGAGATTACCCATTGTGTTCAGTAATCATATCACAGGCAGAGGGGAGGATTTTGTGTGGGAGTGTCTGGGTGTATTGTACGGATTGATTGGTTGTTTTGTAACGCCCTGTGGGCTGTACTATGTTTGTGGATTGGGAATAAAAGAGCCTGTATGTGACAGTACAGGAGTTCCTGTTTTAACCCTCAAAGTGAAGTGTCGTCTCATTATTGGGGGAAGGATTTATTGTATGCTGTTCCAGTTTGACTGCTAGGAGAGTAAACCTATTCGTATGGTTCCTATCCAACTGTCTACAGCATTCATATGCTTGGGAGAATTTATTTGTTTCTCCGGTTCGGTGATTGTGGTGTCTGCCAGAGTGCTTGGAGTCCTCAGGAAGCACTAGGAGCATCCTTCAACGGAATTACCCAGTCGGGGTGCCAGGCGATCCGTTACACCGGTCCTAACCTATAAAATTGCTATACCCATGTTACACAACCGCAGATATAGGACTACTAGTGTCTGTCTTTTAACACTCATTACAAGGCTGAATTCACATTTGTGGATATGACACATTTAAGGCAGGTAATGTGTGTGTCACTTGCACTGGCGTACATACCACGGTCGCAGGGGTCACAGCTGCGACCAGGCCCATCACTCCAGACCCTGCAGACCCCTGCGACCGGGTGCCTGCTATAATCATTTGCAGCCCCGGCCCGCGCGGCAAACCGCAGGGGCCGCATGGTAAGGTGCCCATCGGATGGCCCATGCTATCAGGGACTCCCGATGAGTATGGTTTTTCAGGGGGCCAGGTCAGTGCTGCGGCGCTTTAACAGCGCGACCAGGCCCACTGTGATGAGATCATCACACGCTGGGAGGAAGTGACTCCCTGTCACTCCTCCCAGCTATCACTGAGAGCTGCGCGGGAGGAAGCTCTGACCCCCATCAACCTGAGCCACCACTGGGAAAGTCACCCTCCTGCACCTAAAAAGTAGGAAACAGGAGGGTGACTTAAATATTATGTGTGTGTGTTTGTTTGTATGTATGCGTCTGTATGTATGTGTGCCTCTCTGTTTGTATGTATCTTTGTATGTATGTCTTGTGTGTGTGTGTCTGTCTGTATGTGTGCCTGTCTGTTTTCATGTATGTATGTGTCTTGTGCGTGTGTGTATGTGTCTGTGTGTGTCTGTCTGTATGTGTGCCTGTCTGTTTGTATGTGTGTCTTGTCTGTTTGTATGTATGTTTGTCGTGTGTGTATGTATGTGTCTGTATGGATCTTTCTGTCTGTGTGTGTCTCTGTGTGTGTGTCTCTGTGTGTGTGTCTGTCGGGGGAGTTGTTAGAGGGGGGGAAGTGGGGGGGAAAGGGGGAGTAAGGGGTGCCAATGAATCAGTTTCGCACAGAGGACCAATGGGTTGTGTGAATGCCACTGGTCACGTGGTTAGTGGCTTGAAACGTGGACATGATGAGGTATCATGTGGAACCTTGTGCTTTGTATGCAAACTGTGACCAAATGATTGGTGTTAGGTAAAGATACACAGGACCTTGCCAGAAAGGCTTACAATCTAGCAGCTGCCAGAGCGTTCCAGGTCAATGATGAGCGGTTCGTTGTGTTTCCATATTATCTGGTAGAAAGTATCCTTGTCACCAACACCCCAAGATCTGGAAAATCCATAGAGCTCCCTCATCTTGTCCTGGGAGGTGGCCTTACTGCGGACAATGGAATAATATTCATCTGTAAAAAGCTTCCTGGACAGGAGATCATCAAGTACGGGATCCACCAGACCCATCCTGCTGATCAGCTCTGCCCTGTGTCTGGATGGGATGGAGGAGACTATCAGACCTCAGAGACTATCCTGTGTCTGTCTGTATTCTGTTATCACCCCTTTAAATTATGCAGATTACTATCTCACCCCTTTACGTTCTATATCTTCCCATATCATCCCTTTACGTACTATATCTTCCCGTCTCAACCCCTTTATGTTCTATATCTTCCCATCTAACCCCTTTATGTTCTATATCTTCCCATCTTGTCCCTTTATGTTCTATATCTTCCCATCTCACCCCTTTGTGTTCTATATCTTCCCATCTAACCCCTTTATGTTCTATATCTTCCCATCTCGTCCCTTTATGTTCTATATCTTCCCATCTAACCCCTTTATGTTCTATATCTTCCCATCTTGTCCCTTTATGTTCTATATCATCCCATCTCACCCCTTTGTGTTCTATATCTTCCCATCTAACCCCTTTATGTTCTATATCTTCCCATCTAACCCCTTTATGTTCTATATCTTCCCATCTAACCCCTTTATGTTCTATATCTTCCCGTCTCACCCCTTTTATGTTCTATATCCTACATTTCACCCCTTTATGTGAAGACCCCTGTTCTTTTGCTCTCTTTTATATACAGCGATTAAATAAAGCAATAACCAAAAACTTACCACAGAAACTTGTGATAAGAAAGGACACTTTTCTGGAACAGTATTTGTATACCTGGTACATCATTTTAAATATTTTATTCGGTTTTACTAGGGTGATCTATTATTATTCATTGTCTATTTTTATATCATTCTTGGCACTATCTATCTTTTTGTTTCTGCCCGCTGTGTGCCCATCTGGCTCCTCTTTATAGTTGTCTACCCATCAGTCGTGTCTGCCAGTGTTCTGCCCATCGTACCAGCAGGATTAGGCACTATTTCTAAAATCCCATAATTGTTAACTGTAAATGGAGATAAAGAGAGAAAATCAGGAATTAATTGAGCCGAAACAGATTATCAGACCCTGTGCCCTGTGCTGGAGGTGGGGGGTACAATCTCTATATATGTTTTGTTATTCCCCCTCCCCCTCCCTTTATTCTCAGTGTTCCCTCATCTCACTCCCAATGTTCTTTCTATCCCCCGTTTCAGCCCTTTAAGTGTCTGCCCATCAGTAATGTCTGCTTGTGTTTTGCCCATCTTACCAGCAGTTTGGGGCGCTTTGGCTGCCATCCCATAATTGTTAACTGTAAATGGAGATGAAGAGAGAAAATCAGGAATTAATTGAGTCGAGCAAGATAATCAGACCCTGTGCCCTGTGCTGGAGGTGGGGGAGAGGGGGGTTACAATCTCTATATGTGTTCTGTTATCCCCCTCCCTTTATTCTCTGTGTTCCCTCATCTCACTCCCAATATTCTCTGTGTCCCCCGTTTCACTCCTTTATTCTCTATATTCCCATCTCTTTCCCCTCATTCCTAATATCTCCCAGCAATATTCCTCTTCTACGTCACAACTGTCTGTATGTACATCTCTCCAGAACCATGTGCCAATCTCTCCCCTCTTTATAAGTGTCTGCCACCTGTGTGCCATCTCTTTCCTCTTCATAAGTGTATGCCCGCTATGTGCCCATCTCTCTCCTCTTTTTAAGTGTCTGCCAAGCTGTGTGTCCATCTCTCCTCTTAATAAGTGTCTGCCAGCTGTGTTCCTCTCTTTCTTTATAAGTGTCTGCCAGCTGTGTGCCATCTTTTTCCTCTTTATAAGTGTATGCCCGCTATGTGCCCATCTCTCTCCTCTTTATAAGTATCTGCCCGCTGTGTGGCCATCTCTCCTCTTAATAAGTGTCTGCCAGCTGTGCACCCATCTCTCTCCTCTTTATAAGTGTCTGCTAGCTGTGCACCCATCTCTCTCCTCTTTATAAGTGTCTGCCAGCTGTGTGCCCATCTCTCTCCCCCAGCAATATTCCTTTTCTACATCACAACTGTCTGTATGTACCTCTCTCCAGAACCATGTGTCAATCTCTCCCCTCTTTATAAGTGTCTGCCAGCAGTGTGCACATCTCTCTCTTTACAAGTGTCTGCCAGCTGTATGCCAATCTCTCTCCTCTTTATAAGTGTCTACTAGCTGTGTGCCCATTTCTCTTCTCTTTATAAATGTCTGCCAGCTGTGTGCCAATCTCTCTTCTCTTTATAAGTGTCTGCCCATCAGTAGTGTCTGCCAGTGTTTTGCCCATCTTACCAGAAGGATTAGGCGCCATTCTTAAAATCCCATAATTGTTAACTGTAAATGGAGATAAAGAGAGAAAATCAGGAATTAATTGAGCCGAAACAGATTATCAGACCCTGTGCCCTGTGCTGGAGGTGGGGGGTACAATCTCTATATATGTTTTGTTATTCCCCCTCCCCCTCCCTTTATTCTCAGTGTTCCCTCATCTCACTCCCAATGTTCTTTCTATCCCCCGTTTCACCCCTTTAAGTGTCTGCCCATCAGTAATGTCTGTTTGTGTTTTGCCCATCTTACCAGCAGTTTGGGGCGCTTTGGCTGCCATCCCATAATTGTTAACTGTAAATGGAGATGAAGAGAGAAAATCAGGAATTAATTGAGTCGAGACAGATAATCAGACCCTGTGCCCTGTGCTGGAGGTGGGGGAGAGGGGGGTTACAGTCTCTATATGTGTTCTGTTATCCCCCTCCCTTTATTCTCTGTGTTCCCTCATCTCACTCCCAATATTCTCTGTGTCCCCCATTTCACTCCTTTATTCTCTATATTCCCATCTCTTTCCCCTCATTCCTAATATCTCTCAGCAATATTCCTCCCCTACGTCACGACTGTCTGTATGTACATCTCTCCAGAACCATGTGCCAATCTCTCCCCTCTTTATAAGTGTCTGCCAGCTGTGTGCCATCTCTTTCCTCTTCATAAGTGTATGTCCGCTATGTGCCCATCTCTCTCCTCTTTTTAAGTGTCTGCCAAGCTGTGTGTCCATCTCTCTCTTCATAAGTGTCTGCCAGCTGTGCTCCAGTTTCTCTCCTCTTTATAAGTATGTGCCCGCTGTATGGCCATCTCTCCTCTTAATAAGTGTCTGCCAGCTGTGCACCCATCTCTCTCCTCTTTATAAGTGTCTGCCAGCTGTGTGCCTATCTCTGTCCTCTTTATAAGTGTCTGCCAGCTGTGTGCCCATCTATCTCCCCCAGCAATATTCCTCTCCTACGTCACGACTGTCTGTATGTACCTCTCTCCAGAACCATGTGCCAATCTCTCCCCTCTTTATAAGTGTCTGCCAGCTGTGTGCCCATTTCTCTCTTTATAAGTGTCTGCCACTTGTGTGCCATCTCTCTGCTCTTTACAAGTGTCTGCCAGCTGTATTCCAATCGCTCTCCTCTTTATAAGTGTCTACTAGCTGTGTGCCCATTTCTCTTCTCTTTATAAATGTCTGCCAGCTGTGTGCCAATCTCTCTTCTCTTTATAAGTGTCTGCCCATCAGCAGTGTCTGCCAGTGTTTTGCCCATCTTACCAGCAGGATTAGGAGCCATTTTAAAAATCCCATAATTGTTAACTGTAAATGGAGATAAAGAGAGAATATCAGGAATTAATTGAACAGAAAATCAGATCCCGTGCAGTCTCTATATATGTTTTGTTATCCCCACCTTTATTCTCTGTGTTCCCTCATCTCACTCCAAATGTTCTCTCTATCCGCCATTTCACTCCTTTATTCTCCATATTCCCATCTCTTTCCCTTCATTCCTAATATCTCCAGCAATATTCCTGTCCTACATTTGTTTGAATCTGCCCCTTTTTGGAACCATGTGCCCATCTCACTCCTCTTTCTAAGTGTCTGTCTGCGGTGTGGCTATCTCTCTCCTCTTTTTAAGTGTCTGCCAGCTGTGTGCCCATCTCTCTCCTCTTTATAAGTATCTGCCCACTGTGTGCCATCTCTCTCCTAATTATCAGTGTCTGCCAGCTGTGTGCCATCTCTCTCCTCTTTATAAGTGTCTGCCAGCTGTGTGCCAATCTCTCTCCTTTTTATAAATGTCTGCCAGCTGTGTGCCCATCTCTCTCCTCTTTATAAGTGTCTGTCAGCTGTGTGCCAATCTCTCTCTGTTTTATAAGTGCCTGCCAGCTTTGTGCTCATCTTTCTTCTCTTTATAAGTGTCTGCCCATCAGTAGTATCTGCCAGTGTTCTGCCCATCTTACCAGCAGGATTAGGCGCCATTTTTAAAATCCCATAATTGTTAACTGTAAATGGAGATAAAGAGAGAAAATCAGGAATTAATTGAGCCGAAACAGATAATCAGACCCCGTGTAGTCTCTATATATGTTCTGTTATCCCCACATTTATTCTCTGTGTTCCTTCATCTCACTCCCAATGTTCTCTCTATCCCCCGTTTCACCCCTTTATTCTCCATATTCCCATCTCTTTCCCCTCATTCCTACTACTATCTCCCAGCAATATTCCTCTTCTACATCTGTTTGAATCTGCCCCTCTTTGGAACCATGTGCCCATCTCTCTCCTCTTTATAAGTATCTGCCCGCTGTGTGGCCATCTCTCTCCTCTTCATAAGTATCTGCCAGCTGTGTGCCCATCTATATCCTCTTTATAAGTGTCTGTCAGCTGTGTGCCCATCTCTCTCCTCTTTATAAATGTCTGCCAGCTGTGTGCCCATCTATATCCTCTTTATAAGTGTCTGTCAGCTGTGTGCCCATCTCTCTCCTCTTTATAAATGTCTGCCAGCTGTGTGCCAATCTCTCTCCTTTTTATAAGTGCCTGCCAGCTTTGTGCTCATCTTTCTTCTCTTTATAAGTGTCTGCCCATCAGTAGTATCTGCCAGTGTTTTGCCCATCTTACCAGCAGGATTAGGCGCCGTTTTTAAAATCCCATAATTGTTAACTGTAAATGGAGATAAAGAGAGAAAATCAGGAATTAATTGAGCCGAAACAGATAATCAGACCCCGTGTAGTCTCTATATATGTTCTGTTATCCCCACCTTTATTCTCTGTGTTCCCTCATCTCACTCCCAATGTTCTCTCTATCCCCCGTTTCACCCCATTATTCTCCATATTCCCATCTCTTTCCCCTCATTCCTACTATCTCCCAGCAATATTCCTCTTCTACATCTGTTTGAATCTGCCCCTCTTCGGAACCATGTGCCCATCTCTCTCCTCTTTATATATGTCTGCCAGCTGTGTGCCATCTCTCTCCCCTTTATATGTATCTGCCTGCTGTGTGCCTACCAGTGTCTGGCCGCTGTGTGCCCATCATACCAGCAGGTTTGTCTCTGTTACTTGGCTTCTTGTAATTGCTGGCTGTAAATAGAGATTGAGAGAGAAAATAGTGGGAATTAATAAAAGTGTTTTATTACTATATGAAGATCTATGTGTTTCATGCAGGTTAAGGATTTCTTACCTGTCTCCAAGTCTTGTTCTAATTTTTCTGCAATTCGATTTTGGTCGATTTGCCGCAGCACCTCAAGGGTCACCGTTACCCCGTAGGGCTTGGAATAAGCTGCAAGAATGAGATCTGCAACATCGTCTTCATCCGCCTTCTCCAGACGTGCCTTCGGAATGCTCCTGTACGGTTCTATCACTGGAAACTCATTCAGTTTGTTCCGGAATCTCTTAAAGTTTCTTTCACCTAATTCTTCCAGGTTTCTGACCAGCACGTCTCGCACGGTAAAACACATTTTTTCTCATTATGTTGTTTCCTGCTTCGCTCAGCAATAAATATATAATAACTGTATCTATTTCCTTATTGCTGCCTTTACACTTTCCCATCACTGCTTGCCCTCCAATAGCCAGCCATCTACGTAACACACTATCTGATATGTGAAATATAACATTTGTATCGTTCTTTTCTCCTCTCCTGCCTCTCCCCCTCCCTCCGCAGGGTTTCTAATAAATCATGTGTGTCACTGTAAAGCTGTAGGGTACGTTCTGGATGGGCGCCGCTGGATTTGACAGTTTATTTACTAAGAAGGAGAATTGTGAAAGACTTTAAATTGTATACCAAAAGAAACTAACTTAAAAAGTAGCAGAATTATAATTTTTTTCAGCTTATTTAAATGATTCCTGTGATGTTTTGTACAAATCAGCCAATAATTCCTGTATAACGAAGTACTCACTTTATTAATACATTTATAACCGCATCTTCATATTGCAACCTTGTTACACAGGGTTTCAAATCCCTCGAACAGTCCACCAAATGCCAACAGGAACAGGAAGTAAAGAACCAAAAGAAAGGAAGTGCATCATTCGCAGCCAACAACAGCCCAACTGCCCAATGCCCATACATCACAATACATACACTCATACACTCACACACTCATACACAGCCCAACCGCCCATACATCACAATACATACACTCATACACTCACACACTCATACACAGCCCAACCACCCATACATCACAATACATACACTCATACACTAACACACTCATACACAGCCCAACCACCCATACATCACAATACATACACTCATTCACTCACACACTCATACACAGCCCAACCACCCATACATCACAATACATACACTCACACACTCATACACAGCCCAACCACCCATACATCACAATACATACACTCACACACTAACACACAATTACACAGCCCAACCACCCATACATCACAATACATACACTCACACACTCACACACAGCCCAACCACCCATACACCACAATACATACACTCACACACTCACACACTCATACACAGCCCAACCGCCCATACATCACAATACATACACTCATACACTAACACACTCATACACAGCCCAACCGCCCATACATCACAATACATACACTCATACACTAACACACTCATACACAGCCCAACCGCCCATACATCACAATACATACACTCATACACTCACACACAGCCCAACCGCCCATACATCACAATACATACACTCATACACTCATACACAGCCCAACTGCCCATACATCACAATACATACACTCACACACTCATACACAGCCCAACCGCCCATACATCACAATACATACACTCACACTCACACAGCCCAACCGCCCATACATCTCATACACTCATACACTCACACTCATACACAGCCCAACCGCCCATACATCACAATACATACACTCATACACTCACACACTCATACACAGCCCAACCACCCATACATCACAATACATACACTCACACACTCATACACAGCCCAACCGCCCATACATCACAATACATACACTCATACACTCACACACTCATACACAGCCCAACCGCCCATACATCACAATACATACACTCATACACTCAGCCCAACCGCCCATACATCACAATACATACACTCATACACTCACACACTCATACACAGCCCAACCGCCCATACATCACAATACATACACTCATACACTCACACACTCATACACAGCCCAACCACCCATACATCACAATACATACACTCACACACTCACACACTCATACACAGCTCAACTGCCCATACATCACAATACATACACTCATACACTCACACACTCATACACAGCCCAACCGCCCATACATCACAATACATACACTCATACACTAACACACTCATACACAGCCCAACCACCCATACATCACAATACCTACACTCATTCACTCACACACTCATACACAGCCCAACCACCCATACATCACAATACATACACTCATACACTCACACACTCACACACAGCCCAACAGTCCATACATCACAATTCCCTTGTCATTTCTATGCAGTTTAGTAAGTAGCCCCCGATGAGTGCACATATAAAGAAGGCCATGATGTACCAGGCTGCCCCCTCTGATATCTTCCATGGCACAGATACACTGCGTATTATTAACCCCTTAAAGACGGCAGGCGTACAATGGCATCCTAGAAAGGGTGGCTCTAAACGGCGTAGGGTGGCATAGTACGGCCAGCCGTCCTCCCACCATCCTGGCCCCCTGGACTTACCTGGACCAGTGATCCGCGGCGATAGGAGTCTATGGAGCTGCCAACAGGGGGGCTGTCTGAGCTGTCAGGCAGTCCCCCTGACACCTAAAATGAAAAAAATCTAATCAAATAAAAAAATAAATATATTATACATGTATAATATATTATAAAATAATTGAATTATTTTATAATATATTATACATATATAAAGCATATATATGATTTCATTATAAGTGTATTTTCAGATCTATACACATATATCTCAAAATAATACAATAAACAAGGGGAAGGAAGATAGTACAGTAATCTTACTCCTGAGCGTGGGGTTAACCCCTAGTGCAACGAAATTCTCTATAAAACTAAACAATAAGGAAGGGAGACAGGAGAAGGGGCAGTGTAAATGATAGAGTGTCCTGCAGAGTGGTAGTTGCCTCATTATAAAGGGGTGACCTTAGGATAGGTTGGGCTCGGGGAGATCACAAAAGAGGAAAGATAATTAAAACTTCACTTTTAATGTAAATAGTCAAAAGGGGGTATACAAACAAATTTTAGTTAAAGACCGTGAGAAATAGCATCTAGAGGTATGTGCTGGCGGGAGTATCTGCAGTATGGTAACTAGGAGGTGCAAGCTGCCTCTAGATGCTATTTCTCAAAGTCTTTAAACATAGGACCCTGTCATCATTTCTGAGATGCTCTTTTCTGCAGTATACTGCCACTCTCAAGCTTGTTTTGGAGTCCAGACACTGCAGTTTCGGTAAACATTGTTAACAGCTTCAGTGCGGCTCACTGGGACTTGGCTATTTTTCCTTGAGCCCGGGTACTGGTATAGCGATACATTATGGACACTACTAATTTGTAGCTGTTGTTCCCACAGTGGCATTTCACTCTGTTAACAGGCAGTGTAACTGTATCACTTGAGGATTTCTTACAATAGTTATTTGAACTAAAATTTGTTTGTATAACCCCCTTTTAACTATTTACATTAAAAGTGAAGTTTTAGTTATCTTTCCTCTTTTGTTAAACCCCCCGAGCCCAACCTATCCTAAGGTCACCCCTCTATAATGAGGCAACTACCACTCTGCAGGACACTGTCATTTATCATATAAATCATATATATGCATTATATGTATATATATAAAAATGGCAGAGCAGTATGGCTTATAGTCTACAGAAAAAACACAATATAATAGTGTAATGCTGTAAATAAACAATAAAACTGTGACAATAAAAGCAGAACTCACAAGATGTAGATAATAAAATCGCCTTAGGGTGCCTCCCCTTAGATGATTGGGGTGTATATGCAGAGCTCCCTCACAGCTGGTTGGTGGTATCGCCACAATATGGACTCAGGAAATTGTAAAAATAATCTGCTTTATTTCATAAGTAAGAAAGATAAAAAACAAATATGGTCCAACATGTTTCGCCTAACAGAAGACAAATTGTAAATATAAAATATCCTAACAAAAGGACAGCATAGCAGCACAACCCTTCCCTCCCCAGTCCTTCCCTGGCTGTCATTTCTTCCTATTGGTGGTCCAAGGGGCGTTGTCCACACTGTCCAGCTGTTTCAGAGGATTCCTCAGTTGATTTACGCGGGTGTCCTATCTGTATGACGTCACTTCCGCTAGGTCACCTCCGGTTTTTACTTCCGGTTGACGTATTTGTTTCAACTTGCGGCCATTATGCGTTTCACCTTCGGTAATGTATAATACCAGTCATATATTGGTGTAAACGTGAATGAGTCCTTGGTAAATCATAAGGAAGCCTGCAGGGTTCAAAATCAGTACACACGTTAGTACATGTGAAAATACATCCAGCGCATTGTAGCCCATGTGCCATTGTAGCTAAGGGGAATGTGCCTTGACATTGCTAGGAGACAGGCATGTAGTGACGTGGGTGTGTGGTATTGGTTACAAAATAGCATTGTGGGTGGAGTTACCAGGCCATATAGAAAGGGACCGTTTTAGGTTAAGGGGACATTTTAATTAAGCTGCACTTACCTGTTGTTACATAGTTACATAGTTACATAGCTGAAAAGAGACTTGCGTCCATCAAGTTCAGCCTACCTCACATTTGTTTTTTGCTGTTGATCCAAAAGAAGGCAAAAAAAAAACCAGTTTGAAGCACAATTTTGCAACAAGCTAGGAAAAAAATTCCTTCTTGACCCCAGAATGGCAGTCAGATTTATCCTTGGATCAAGCAGTTATTACCCTACATTGAAAGATTATATCCTTGAATATTCTGTTCTTGCAAGTATGCATCTAGTAGCCGTTTGAACATCTGTATGGACTCTGATAAAACCACTTCCTCAGGCAGAGAATTCCACATCCTGATTGTTCTTACAGTAAAAAACCTTTCCTTTGCCTTAGGCGAAATCTTCTTTCTTCCAGTCTAAGCGCATGGCCTCGTGTCCTATGTAAAGTCCGGTTTGTGAATAGATTTCCACACAATGGTTTGTATTGGCCCAAATATATTTGTATAATGTTATCATATCCCTCTCAGGCGAGCTTTGTTTATATTAACTTTATTTAGTTGCTGCAGCACCTTGTCTTGAGTTAACCAATTACAATTATTCTGCAAGTTTTTAGTAGCAATCATTTGCACATCTATTGCCATGGGTTCTTCCTTAATATATACGGAGGAGAAATAGCTATTTAAAATTCCTGCCTTTTCCTGGTCTTCATTAATTAACACCCCCGTTTCGGTTTTTAGTGTACCTACACTTTCATTTTGTTTTTTTTTAGAATTTATGTACTTAAAAAATGCTTTGGGGTTGGTTTTGTTCTCTTCAGCTATCATTATTTCATTTTGAAGTTTAGCAAGTCTAATTGCCTTTTTGCACGCATTATTTGCATCCTTATATCTTTTATAAGATGCATCTGATTTGTCCGATTTAAATGCTTTAAATGCCCTTCTCTTAGTTGTAATCTCTTGTTTTACTTCTCTACTAAGCCACATTGGTTTTAATTTGTTGTGACAGGTTTTTGTGTAGTGTCTTCCTGTTGTCTCCTTTGCAGGTTCTTCTCAGCTCAGAATGGAAGATTGGCTAGCAGGAGTAAGGGCTGCTGTGCAGGAGAGAGATGCGTCAAGTGACTGCAGGGTCGTTTAGGTTATGCTTTGCCATCAAGATCTACCACGTCCCCAGCGCGGAGGCCCACTCGGAGAACCAGGCCCCATCAGAGATTGAGCCACAGCTTAGTGCCAGGTACAAGGCAACAGCGGAGCCCATCTGGAGACCCTGGCAGTGTTGGCGAGGATGTCGGCAGCAAAACCGGGAGTGAAGTTCGTGGGAGGTGTCAGTGTGCGGCTGCACGTTCGCGTCGTGGCACCAGGAGGTACGGCAACTACCGAATGTTTTGTTCGCGAATGTGGCCTTTCGCATGCTGCTGAGCATTTGGGAGGTGACTATTTCGTTTCAGATGCAGCTGGGCGTTCAACAGCAGGGGTGCAACGTTCGGGCCAGAGACCTATTCGCACTGTAAACAGCAGGAATGATGCAGGACTAACGGCAGACTTTGCAGCAGGATCTGGTAACACTGAAAGTGCTGCTTGGAGTGGAAGAGCAGAGACATCAGCTGTTCAGCCAGGTGAATTGGCTCCCAACACCGTTGCCCCCACTTTTGCTAGTCCAAGAGTTTCCCCTGAGGTGGGCCCCAGTACACACGCTCCATAATTTCCTCTGACAGGTTACGGGAGCGTAGTGTGTCACCTCCCAGGATAACATGAGGTGAGTCAGGAGTAAAGCAAAAGGGAGTACAAATATAGGGAGGACGTCGAGGGACAGCTTGGGTGGCTTTCCTCATGGGTGTCCCACGCTGCACTCAGGAGGATGATGTCAGGTTCCATAGGGACGCTGATATGTATCAGTCTAGGAACAGTCATCGTAAAGGGATAGACAGTGATGGCAGGGGGTCCCCTTCAGGATATGCACGGGGAAGGATTTTGGATTCCCCTGTTAGGATCGAGTATTGGAGACGTAGTGGGTCTAGATCTACTAGCGGGAGTTCTCCAGAGATGGGCGGTGTAGGGGCTTCTTCGCACGCTCACTGCCCTAAGGGTCAGGACGCCAGTGGGGGATTAAGCAAAGGTTCCCACTCGGGAGTAAGGCAGGTCAGGGATACTACGGCCAGCCTACCCAGGATGTCTTTTCCTTACAGGTCACCAAGATGGTCGCCCACGGATCGGGTGAGATCACGCACTGTAAGGTCGCCCACGGATCGGGGGAGACCGAATTCACCAAGACGGTCGCCCACGGATCGGGTGAGACCATACACTGGGAAGTCGTCTAAACGGTTGCCCTCAGATAGGGAGAGACCTGCGGATGGGGTAGTATGGCTCAAAGTACCGGAGCGCTTGGGTCAGGACAGCGGATCTTGGTTGATACCCCCACGGCCTTCAGCGATAAGGGGTTCAGAGGGTGAGTCACTTTCAGTACCTCATTCAGGGGATCTGTTAGACAGTTTAAAACATTTCTTAGATTCTTGGAGTGAGGGTAAGGGACAGGATGTGAATTTTAGTCAGCTTTGGGTGCCAAGGGTGGAAGGTTTATGGTCAAGCACAAGTGGGCTCCCTGTTGTAGGAGGGAGCGCAGGGGGGGGCAGTGGCAACGTCTGCTGTCTTGGCATCAATTGATTTAGGGAGTGAGCGGGCAAATTTGCTCGGGGGTATTTTGGATGCGGCTCGTCAGAACGTGCACGTTTCCTTTGCAGGACCTTTGGGCTGTCATCTTAAGCCCGAAGTGAAGGAACGAATTTGAAGAGGGGAGTTTGTGGAGATCTATTCCCTTCTCCCTCTAGAGGAGCATTAAGATCTTAAAGAGGAGGATAAAAAGGATACTAAAAAAGAGGAGGAGGAAAAGAAGCGTTGTTACCATAAGATTCCTAAGACGTTCGGCAATTGGTTGAGGGCTTTTTGTATTCTAGCTAGCGTGATGGGCGAGAAGTCTCTGGATCATTGTTCCCAGTTATTTTGCTACCCTGACGGTATTTAGGAGGCACACCGCACGTACGGTTTCATCAGTGCTTGTCTGTCAATCCAGGGATGCGGTGGAATCAAATGGACCTACCGTTCTGGATGAAGCTAATGATGGCACAGAAGGCCCTTTTAGTCGGGGGACGGCAGGGATTTTCATTCACCTCGTCGGTCGACCACAGAAAAGGTTTCTGCTGGCTCTTCAATGAAGGGCAGTGCAAGTGGGGGGCCACATGTCGGTTTAAGCATGAGTGCTCGGGTTGTGGAGGAACCCAAGGACTTGATCGGTGCTTCAAGAGAGGTAAGGCTACGGCCGCAGGAGGTGCGGTCCCATCCGCTGCCCGTGGGGTTAACGCTGGTGAGGGTCGGTGTGATGTTACCGTGGCTAAACAGCTACGGTAACCAGATCGATGTGTCATTACTGAAGGATGATTTTACTAGTGGTTTTGTTATCCCGTTCTGGGATAGGGTGGTGGTTCCTCGTCTTTATAATTTAAAATCGGTTGGGGAATTTCTGGGCGGGGGGGGGGTTGCAGAAAAAATTGCTTAAAGAGGTCCAATTGGGCAAGATAGCGGGGCCTTTTGCGAAGAAGAAACCTTGTAAGTAAGGGATCGTCCGTAAATGAGGATCTTGATAAGGCTCTTTGTTCAGTGTCGTATGCGTAGTTTGATCAGGTGGTTGATTTGGTTCGGCAGGTGGGCCGCAGAGCATTGTTGGCCAAGGCAGATGCGGAATCAGCGTTTCGTCTCCTTCCGATTCACCCCAAATGTCATAATTTGTTGGGCTGTTACTTTGAGGGCAAGTATTTTGTAGATCTCTGTTTGCCCATGGGGTGTTCTATCTCCTGCGCCTACTTTGAAAAATTTAGCACCTTTTTGGAGTGGGTGGTCAGGGTTGAGGCGGGAACGAAATTTGTGGTCCACTATCTGGATGATTTCCTGTGCTGTGGGCCTTCTGGTTCTGAGGTTTGTCGTATAGGATTGAGAACGTTGGAATGGGTGGCGCATGTTTTTGGTGTTCCTTTGGCAGGTGACAAGACGGTGGGTCCAACGACGTGTTTAGCTTTTTGGGCTTGGAGATAGATTCCGTCAGGGGAGAATGTCGTTTGCCAGAAAACAAATTGCTTGTTCTTCGTGGGGTGGTGTGTTAAGAACATTACAGTCATGGATTGGATGTTTGAATTTCGCAGGTCGGGTGATCACTATCGGTAGGGTATTTAACAGGTTCTTGGCAAAGGCCACTGGCCACAACTGCATAAGCCAGCCACAACGTCAATGTACCCCATTGATGCTGGATTGTGTATTTTGTACATATTGGCCCCAGCAGCACCCTATAATGTATGCATGTTCAGATGAGTGCAGCCCTCTTGGTTTCTTTTATATATTTGGGAGTCCAGGCCAACTCCTTGGCTTTGCACCCCTCCCTGTCACAGGTGTCTCATTCCAGGACCCTATTTAGGGTCAGACACACAAACAGGCAGACACTCACACACACACAGGCAGACACTCACAGACATATATACACTCACTCACTGACAGACACACACTCATTGACAGATACACAGACACAGATACTCAGAGACTCACTGACAGTCAAACACACACAGACATCCTATAATGTATGCATGTTCAGATGAGTGCAGCCGCCTTGGTTTCATTTATAGATTTGGGAGTCCAGGCCAACCCCTTGGTTTTGCACCCCTACCTGTCACATGTTCCTCATTCGAGGACCCTATTTAGCCTTGACTTGCAGAGAGTCCCAGTAAGGAAGTATTTCCCAAGTAAGTGGATTATTCTCATAAGAGCAAGCATTAGGCTGCTAGAGTAGGACGTGCCAAGAATAGGGTACTTAGACATTGTGGCAGGCTTATGCAATATATGATTTTATAATGTAACTAAACCCCCATGGTTTGCCTAGGTGAGGGGTTTTTAAATAAAACTATTACAATCTTGTTTAGTGAACAAGCGAGTGCACTGGATTGTGTATTTTGTATGGTGTGTGTGTGTGTGTGTGTATATATATATATATATATATATATATACACACACATACACACACACACACACACACTCACTCATATATTTAACTACATAATTGATTTTATTAATTATAATAAGGGGCCTGCCGGACAACCCAGGCAGACAGTGCAGAGAATTTAATTGACAAGCCCTATATTTAACCCTGTAACTTTCCAAAACACCATAAAACCTTTACATTGGGGGTATTGTTATACTCTGGAGACTTGGCTGAACACAAATATATGAGTTTTTAAAAGTACAACTTATCACAAGGATGAAATCACCAGTAAAAGTGCAGTTTTTTTGTTTTTTTTTAAATGCAAAAAAATAAAAGGCTAACTTTGGCCAGCGTTTGTGACTAAGTGGCTACTTCAAAAGACTGGACATACCCCATTTTCAATATCCTGGCTTGTCTACATTTGAAAATGTTATGCCTTGATGGGGTTATTTCACATTCCTGGGCTACCATATGCAGGGCCGCTGCAAGGATTTCTGTCACCCTAGGCAAAGATTAATTTTGCTGCCCCCTCATGTCACTCTCACTGACACACACACTCACTGACAGACACACACAGGCAGACACACTGTCATGCTTCTGAGCAGGTCCGAGAAGAGACTTATGCCGGGGTTGACTTGAGGTTCTTTATTTTAGTATTTAGACAGAGGTAACAATAAGAAGTATACCAGGATAAAAAGAGAAAATTAATAATAGAGATTAAGGGAGACAGCAGATTCTAGAAACAGAATTACAGCATTACAGGTAAGTATGAAGGAGTAGTACAAGAATTAGAAGTTTAGGCAATATGCCCCAAAGCAGGTTTACAGGCGACAGGGAAACCTATCAGTGAAATAATAATAGGGAACAAGTAAACATAATATTATCAGACAATAATAAACAGAATAATAAAGGATAATGGAATTCGGGTTGGTTCTAAGTTAAGGAGAACCGTCTGTGTATTTTGCAGGATTTGTACAGACGTTACCAGATATGAGGATTAGGGCAATTAATAGGATGGTTAGTAAAGTCCAGGCAGGTTAGATCCAAAGTAAATAAGGAATAGTTAGAGAACAAAGTCCAGTTAGAATTAAAGCAGGATGTTTGCATGACTCAGGATGAATCAAAGGAAACCAGAGTTGGGCAGGTTATCAGGAATCCGTCTGAGCCAGGAGCAGATGTCTTGTCTGTATTAGACTATAAACAAGTATCAGTAGGAGCCAGGTGCAGAACACAACTTCTCTCCATGTAAAGGCCATGTGAAACGTTGGGTGTAGCCTTTTATAGCAGACTTGGAGATCATATGAGGCAGGTGAGAGGGGAATAGTGGCTAGGGCGGCAACTAGAGGCGAGAAACAGGTATTGCAGTAATAAGAGACTAAAATAATATCTTGGTTGTCAGGAATTGGATCCTGACACACTCACTGACAGACACACACACACACACACACTCACTGACATACACATACACTCACTCACTGACATACATACACACACTCACTGACAGACACACACACACTCACTGACAGACAGACACACACACACACTCACTCACTGATTTACATACACTCACTCACTGACATACATACACTCACTCACTGACAGACACACACACAAACACACACTGACACTCAGACATCCAGTCTTCCTACCTTCCTGGGGTCCAGTGTGGGGCAGCTCCTCACTCATCCAGCGCGCTGTTTGGTATGCCGGAGCCGGAATGACATCATATTCCGGCTCCCGGCATCACAGAGGCTCTTCTTGCAGCTTCCCACTCCTCCCTCGCTGGCCACACTGCCACCACCTGCCTCCCCTCCGGCATTCATCGGCAGAGAAGGCACCTGCCATCAGGGTAAACAGGTGCCTGCTCTGCCATACCGATTAAAGGACAGCTTCGGGGGCGCCCTGACGTGGCTTGTGAGAAGGCTCCTAATGGCTCCCCCATTTTCGGGCACCTGGAAGATCAGCCCAGCACTGAGGGGGGCAGCTCTAGAGCCGGACAGGGGTAGGACAAGGGTAGCCCACCAGGAAATAATCCGATGGACACCCCCAGCAGGCGAATGCCTAGTTCGTCTAACGGTGGTGCCGGCCCTGACCATAAGGTCTCAAAAGGCAACATAGACCCAGCAAACCAATCTGGCAAACTGAATTGGGCAAGCCCTATATTGACCGTGTAACTTTCCAAATCACCATAAAACCTTTACATGGGGGTATTGTTATACTCAGTATTTACATGGGGGGTATTGTTATACTCACGAGACTTTGCTAAACACAAATATGAGTGTTTAAAACAGTAAAACTTATCACGACGATGAAATCACCAGTAAAAGTACAGTTTTTGTGTTAAAATATATGCCGAGTCTAAGCCCCAGCAAACTTACTTAGAAGTTGCTCCATAGGACTCACAGCCAGCAAGTCTTGCAGCTCAAAAGCCTTATGCTGAGGTAGCATCTCTGGAACATTTTCCCACCCTCCCCATGGTAATCACTACATTTATAGATAGTTCAAATCACCTGGTTTTCCAAACACACCAACCATGTCTATCATCTATTCTCCTCACCTGTAATACCTCCATTCCCACACAAGCGAGTTTACCTTTCACCTCTCCACGCTCTCCTGGTCCTAGCTGCCCTTATAATTCCCTCATCTATAACAAAACACTACTTAACAATGTTCTCTCTACTATTTTTCACTTTCACTGTCACTTCTCTTATTACTAAAATTTCTCTATCTTTCTGCTTACCTGTCCTTACTGACACCATCTTCATTGCTTGTGGTTTACTACGCTCCTCTCTCTGTTCATCCCTTGCACTATACTCATACCTATCCACCCTTTCTCCTCCAACTCCATGTAAATTCTCAAAATATAGACATTCAACCAAAACATTTAAATCTTACTCCCACCTTCTCTTACTTTCTATGCTTTTGCTCATGGCAGCAGGCGATATCTCTCCAAACCCTGGTCCCTCCTCTCCCTACCTACCTTGTGTCCACTCCAGAAACCTCTCCAATCTTGTATCCATCTCATGTAACTCTCCCAGTAGGCCCTCCTTCCATTCTGCCCTCTGGAATGCACATAACTAAATCTACTTCTATCCATGACTTATTCATCTCATGGGACCTAAACCTTCTTGATTTAACCGAAACTTGTCTCTCTCCCTCTGCCACAGCTACCCCTGCCTCATTATCCTTTGGTAGTCTACAGTTTACTCACAACCCAAGACAGTCTGACAGTAAGGGTGGCGGTGTAGGGTTTCTGCTTTCACCCCACTGCTCCCTCAAACATCTGCCCACCCCCTTCCCTCTATTTTCCTCCCTTGAAATTCACTCAATTTGCTTATTTAAACCCATATCTGCAAACATTGCAGTTATTTATCGGCCCCCTGGTTACCCTCATCTCTTCCTTGACCACTTTGCTGCCTGGCTTCCTTACTTCCTTTCAAGCAATATCCCATCCCTAATTCCCAGGGATTTCAACATTCCCATAAACCCACCATTGTCCTCGGTAGCCTCAAAACTTATTTCAATCACCTCCTCCTTTGGGCTATCGCAATGGGCTAATTCTCCCACACATGTAGCTGGCAAAACCCTAGATCTTATTTTTTCAAATGCATGCTCAGTCTCCAATCGCTGTAATACTCCATTTCCTCTGTCAGACCACCACCTCCTATCATTTATTCTCGAGTGCCCCCACACCCAATATCCTTAACCTAATCCCCTCATCCTTGTAAAAGAGTCCTACTTTTCTTCTCTCACCCCACAAACTGATCTTTCAGCTGATAGCTTTGCATGTTATATTACTGACAAGATTAATCAGTTAAGGAATGAATTATCTCCCCTTTCTCCCCTCTCTATTTTAACCTCACTTGGATCATACCATCCCTACCCTCCAAGACTTCTCTCCAGCTACTGAGCAGGAGGTGGCTGCGCTTCACCTTTGCTTTCGTCCCACAACATGTCCGCTTGATCCCATCCCGTCCCACCTCATCGGATCTCTCGCCCCTTGTCTGGTGCAGTCATTATCGCACATCTTCAACTGCTCTGTTTCTTCTGGTGTTGTCCCAGCTCCCCTTAAATATGCTACTGTTGTACCTGTCCTCAAAAAGCCATCTCTTGACCCTACCTCCGTTTGCAACTATCATCCCATATCCCTGCTCCCCCTCTCCTGAAAGCGTTTGGAAAGATTTGTCTGTACCATCTGACTTGCTTCCTCAATTCCAACTCTCTCCTTGACCCTCTTCAGTCTGGATTCCTCCCCCTCCAGGGCCAATCACAACAGACAGGGGGCGGCCTGGAGGGTGGGTGTTAAAAAACTGTAATACCCATGGAACATCTGGAGTGTGGGGCTGCAGGTAAGAAACAATACAACAGCTACATACGTATAAAAAATACAAGCACAATATGTGACTCAAATTATAAGTGTAGCGGGACACCGCCACTAAGTGCCATGCCCACTGAATATTCATGTTTTGGTTTTGTATTTTTTCCCCCCAATGTGTAGTCTCACGATTTTCCCTTGTTGAATGTGTTTCCCCATGTATCTATATGTAATTGTGTTGTATTCGTGCATTTTACCTGCTTCCTGTTCGTGAGAGCTCATACGAACGGGCTCTGTTCGGCTCCCGAACGGGTACCACCCCGATACCCCATTTAGAATGTTTAGTTAGAATGCTCACACCTCACTAACGAGGTGTGAAAACCGCAGACCGCAAGGGAAACAAGTGGCGTGTGCTTCCCCTGGGTGACCGCCGGTTTGTATAACCGAACGTCCTACAGGGACAGCATTCATATACCGAATGGGCAAACGCACCCTTTTTTCCGGTCCCCGTGTCGGGATCGTCCTACCCACTCCCAATGGAGCTATAATCACGGTCTATCCCCTCCATACCTGAGAGCTACGAGGCTAGGTTTGTAGCTGCCCAGGAGAGCGGTCTCTCCGGTGGATACCTGCGTAGGGATATCCACCGGAGAGAGGGACATGTACCAGCAGGGAATCTCTGGAGCTGTGAATCAGTCTCACAGCCGCAGAGTCCCTCTGGCCGCAAGGAAGTCCGTGCCGACCAATGGGAGAAAGAGCGCCCATTCAAACTGGGTTTGCGCCATTCTCCTGGTTGGTCGGCACGAGTGCGCCCTGATTAGTCACTACGGAGCCCAGGCGATCAATCAGAGAAGGAGCGCCTGTTCAAACAGGGTTTCGCACCCTTTCTCCTGATTGGGCAGCGAAACCCCTCTCCTCCCGGAGTGCCTATTGGTGCAACCGAGTTTCCCGCCCTTTCTTCGGATTGGGCGGCAAAACTCCTTTCCTCCCCCAACAGCTGAAAGGGCGCGATTTAGTTCGCGCTCTTTCAGCTGATTGGTTGTTGCTTGGTTTGGGCGCAAAGTTTGAATTCGCTGGACTAAACCAAGCAACGCCATGTAACTAATTTCGGTGATGTACAGAACCTCGAGCTCCAGATTTAGACGTTGATATCTTGGGCTCTGTACATCCGATAGCCCCGCTATTTGCAGGGATCCTAGATGGGACCTGGGGCTATCTAGTAATATAGACTTTATCCATGTGACCCCTTCCATTCCCGGGACACTGAGCCCCATAGGTTACCCCCCCAGTATGTAATGTGTTTGAAGGTATGTCCCTGTGTACTGTTGGTATCTCCCAGAGGGGGAGATGGCTATCTGTAACCCAACCCACTCCTTCCTGGAATTAGGTTGTACTGAATGGAGTGGGGGTCTGTGCATAAAAGAAGCCCTTTTCAATAAAGACTTGTTCAGTGTTTTAACCTCCAGAACTGTGTGTCGTCTGGTTACTGGAGGGAAGGAAGATTTAACCCCTGTGTCTGCCGTTCCAGCTTGCAGGGAATGCAGCGGGGAGAGTCCTTGTAAGTACTAAGAGAGTTAGCTCCCCATTCATTTTCCCTGGTCCGGTTAGGAAGCAACGCCTCTGGCGGAGGTACCCAGTAGGGTACAGGAAGCTCCGCTACAATAGGGCTGGAATATTTTTTTTCCAGGGCTGTTTTCTGTTTCCAGTCTGGCCCTGATGACTGGGTTCACAGCCAAAACTCACATAAAAATAGGATATCTTTATCTCTGAAATATATGGAAAAAAAAAACTGATTTATGTAGCCATAGGGAAGTCACAATAATACTTGTTATAGTATGATCCAGCAATTGGTGATACTCGGCAATCAAGAGCATCACACTGAGTGCAAATATGCCTTAGCAGTCAAACAAAGAGGGACACTTCAATTTTAGGGATGTGAGTGGGGGGTGTACAACAAGAACAAGATCTTATTTACACAGACTGATTTCTGAACACATTTATTGCAATTTAAAGACACATTACTGAGAGTATTATTGCTGTCGAGCTCTGTTATACACTCAGACACATTACTGGGAGTATTATTGCTGTGGAGCTCTGTTATACACCAGACACATTACTGGGAGTATTATTGCTGTGGAGCTCTGTTATACACTCAGACACATTACTGGGAGTATTATTGCTGTGGAGCTCTGTTATACACTCAGACACATTACTGGGAGTATTATTGCTGTGGAGCTCTGTTATACACTCAGACACATTACTGGGAGTATTATTGCTGTGGAGCTCTGTTATACACTCAGACACATTACTGGGAGTATTATTGCTGTGGAGCTCTGTTATACACTCAGACACATTACTGGGAGTATTATTGCTGTGGAGCTCTGTTATACACTCAGGCACATTACTGGGAGTATTATTGCTGTGGAGCTCTGTTATACACTCAGACACATTACTGGGAGTATTATTGCTGTGGAGCTCTGTTATACACTCAGACACATTACTGGGAGTATTATTGCTGTGGAGCTCTGTTATACACTCAGACACATTACTGGGAGTATTATTACTGTGGAGCTCTGTTATACACTCAGACACATCACTGGGAGTATTATTGCTGGGGAGCTCTGTTATACACTCAGACACATTACTGGGAGTATTATTGCTGTGGAGCTCTGTTATACACTCAGACACATTACTGGGAGTATTATTGCTGTGGAGCTCTGTTATACACTCAGACACATTACTGGGAGTATTATTGCTGGGAGCTCTGTTATACACTCAGACACATTACTGGGAGTATTATTGCTGTGGAGCTCTGTTATACACTCAGACACATTACTGGGAGTATTATTGCTGTGGAGCTCTGTTATACACTCAGACACATTACTGGAGTATTATTGCTGTGGAGCTCTGTTATACACTCAGACACATTACTGGGAGTATTATTGCTGTGGAGCTCTGTTATCCACTCAGACACATTACTGGGAGTATTATTGCTGTGGAGCTCTGTTATAAACTCAGACACATTACTGGGAGTATTATTGCTGTGGAGCTCTGTTATACACTCTGACACATTACTGGAGGTATTATTGCTGTGGAGCTCTGTTATACACTCAGACACATTACTGGGAGTATTATTGCTGTGGAGCTCTGTTATACACTCAGACACATTACTGGGAGTATTATTGCTGTGGAGCTCTGTTATAAACTCACACATTACTGGGAGTATTATTGCTGTGGAGCTCTCTTATACACTCAGACACATTACTGGGAGTATTATTGCTGTGAGCTCTGTTACACACTCAGACACATTACTGGGAGTATTATTGCTGTGGAGCTCTGTTATACACTCAGACACATTACTGGGAGTATTATTGCTGTGGAGCTCTGTTATACACTCAGACACATTACTGGGAGTATTATTGCTGTGGAGCTCTGTTATACAATCAGACACACCAACAATATGGAGCTCCTAGAAAAGAGGGATAGAGGGATTGGGCCCACAATGAAAGTGTCCCTCTTTGTCTATTTGAAATGTTAGTAGATATCCAGTAACAATGCAACATTGCTAAATAATCTACTAAGTACATATGATGGTATAAATTCTCCCTTTGGATAAAACAAAAACCATTTTATTTTTATTCAGTATTCAATATGTAAAATTTATTTAAAAATGATAACGTATGTTCAGCCTTGTAATGACAATGTTTGCCAGCGAGATCACTGGAATAATATTGTGTCAGAGACAAATCCTTAACATGAACCCCAAAATGTTTAGCATTATCCGATCAATCAGCGTTACTGAGCGCAGATATACAGGGGATCTATGACTAGCGACAGCTGTCAATGGATTAATTAAACAATAGGTAATTCTATATAAAAACCTAATGGAATTAAAAACGGGCTCATATTTACAATTAAAAATAATCTTTGCCAAGATCAGAGCCAGATATTAAATAGTCTGAAAAATATGATTCACTTAATTTAATTAAAATGAATGAATGGGATTTAAATTGTACTGATCGCTCCTTTCATTCATAATGGTTTTATTCCCAATATTTTAACAAGCCGTAACACACAATCAAACTATGAAGGTCTTGGACATACAGCTAATCAAACCATCAATGATATAAAAATAAGAATATAGAAATAGTTATAGGATAACGCTGGGGATAACGCCAGTATGGGGAGGGCGGGTATTAACCTACCGATGTCAGGGGAGGTTTCAGTAAGGCAGAGAGTGACAAATGTTTCCATAGAATGTTATTGTGACAGTAACAATGGGCGATGTCATGTTACAGGTTTAATGCCATTGATGGGCTCGATTTAATAAGCTTTTGGGTGCAGAATGCCAGGACCCTTAGCCCTGCAGAGGTAATTATTGCAGTTTTTAATGAACTCCATTAATTACCTTTGAGGGTCAACTCCATCTCTAGTGGAAAACAACTTTGTTTTCCTGGCACTATAATTTAGCTTACGTTTAAAGTCTAAAGGAATTTATATAGTTAAATCATTTGTAAAGGATTCCAAGAGTATTGAATTATTTGAAAGTTTATTAAATCGAGGCCTATATGTTTTATAATTAAACACTAGTTGTACCTGTATCAACGTCTATACAACCTTTTCCTTGGACAAGCCTGTAATGCTTGCAGCCAGTCTTTCCCACGTCCCCCCGTGGCCTGGGCCCCTACGGAGCCTCACCTGATGACACGGCGTGATGTAAAACGCACCAACATATGTGTGCAATTGTGTCATTCTTAAAGGAGAACTGTTGTTAAAATGTTTTTATATCATGTTTATCTTATAATATAACATCTCTTAATTCTGTTTACATCAGATATATGGAAAGTTAGGAGAATTCACTTTTTTCTCTCTGAAGTAAGAAACTGCACACAATCAAGCAGTGATGATAAAATAATGAGCACTGGTTGGGATTACTGGCAGTCTGACCAAGGTGTATAGAGATTGCTACCAGAAAGGGGAGTGGGAAAAGTAATTTCATTAAAATTCTTAATATAAATGAGTTAATAAAAATGTAAAGTTCCTTTCAGTACAATTCCAATACCCCAACATGATATGCGGAACCGTTACCGCCTGCTCTGATCTCTAACCTCCCGATTCGACTTTCTATAAAACTCTCCCTATTCTGGAGCGTTTGATTCCATTTATCCCTCAGTTATGTACATTTAAAATCAGGTTTACTCATGTCTGGTATCTTACGGGTCGTTTAACACCCATTACAAGGCTGAATTCACATTTATGGACAGGGCACATGTAAGGCAGGTAATGTGGGCGTCACGTGGTTAGTGGCTGGAAATGTGGACATGATGAGGTATCACGTGGCCCCTTAAAATGCAAACAATAGCCAAGTGACTGGTGTGAGGTAAAGACACACAGGACCCTGCCATAAAGGCTTACAATCTAGCAGCTGCCAGAGCGTTCCAGGTCAACGATGAGTGGTTCGTTGTGTTTCCGTAGTATCTGGTAGAAAGTATCCTTGTCACCAACACCCCAAGATCTGGAAAATCCATAGAGCTCCCTCATCTTGTCCTGGGAGGTGGCCTTACTGCGGACAATGGAATAATGTTCATCTGTAAGAAGCTTCCTGGACAGGAGATCATCAAGTATGGGATCCACCAGACCCATCCTGCTGATCAGCTCGGCCCTGTGTCTGTCCACGAAGTGCTCTGCACCTGTGGGGATGGAGGAGAGTATCAGACCTCAGAGACTATCCTGTGTCTGTCTGTATTCTGTCATCACCCATTTACGTTCTATATTTGACCATCTCACCCCATTATATTCTGTATCTTCGAGTCTCACCCCTTTATATTCTATACTCACATCTTAACCCCATCTTAATATCTCCTAATTATCAGTGTCTGCCAGCTGTGTGCCCATCTCTCCTGATTATCAGTGTCTGCCAGCTGTGTGCCCATCTCTCTCCTAATTATCGATGTCTGCCAACTGTGTGCCCATCTCTCTTCTCTTTATAAGTGTCTGCCAGCTGTGTGCCCATCTCTCTCCTCTTTATAAGTGTCTGCCAGCTGTGTGTCCACCTCTCCTAATTATCAGTGTCTGCCAACTGTTATCAGTGTCTGCCAGCTGTGTGCTCTCTCTCCTAATTATCAGTGTCCATCAGCTGTATGCCCAGCTCTCTCTAATTATCCTAATTGTGCCCATCTCTCTCCTAATTATCAGTGTCTGCCCCATCTCTCTCCTAATTATCAGTGTCTGCCAGCTGTGCCCATATTTCTTCTAATTATCAGTGTCTGCCAGCTGTGTGCCCATCTCTCTCCTAATTATCAGTGTCCGCCAGCTGTGTTCCCATCTCTCTCCTAATTATCAGTGACTGCCAGTTGTGTGCCCATTTCTCTCCTAATTATCTGTGTCTGCCAGCGGTGTGCCCATCTCTCTCCTAATTATCAGTGTCTGCCAGCTGTGTGCCCACCTCTCTCCTAATTATCAGTTTCTGCCAGCTGTGTGCCCATCTCTCTCCTAATTATCAGTGTCTGCCAGCTGTGTGCCCATCTCTCTCCTAATTATCAGTGTCTTCCAGCTGTGTGCCCACCTCTCTCCTAATTATCAGTGACTGCCAGTTGTGTGCCCATTTCTCTCCTAATTATCTGTGTCTGCCAGCGGTGTGCCCATCTCTCTCCTAATTATCAGTGTCTGCCAGCTGTGTGCCCATATTCTCCTAATTATCAGTGTCTGCCAGCTGTGTGCCCATCTCTCTCCTAATTATCAGTGTCCGCCAGCTGTGTTCCCATCTCTCTCCTAATTATCAGTGACTGCCAGTTGTGTGCCCATTTCTCTCCTAATTATCTGTGTCTGCCAGCGGTGTGCCCATCTCTCTCCTAATTATCAGTGTCTGCCAGCTGTGTGCCCACCTCTCTCCTAATTATCAGTGTGCCAGCTGTGTGCCCACCTCTCTCCTCAGTTTCTGCCAGTGTGTGCCCATCTCTCTCCTAATCAGTGTCTGCCAGCCCCCATCTCTCTCCTAATTATCAGTGTCTGCCAGCTGTGTGCCCATCTCTCTCCTAATTATCAGTGTCTACCAGTTGTGTGGAAGACGAGAACAAAAGTGAAAACGTAGATCAGTGCTAAATAACTGAAGAGAATAAATGGCAGCACACCTAAGGAAAACGGGTTCCCCCAACTGACCCCTTAAAAACAGATCAAAGCAAAAAGATAGGGTATAGGTAGCGTAAAAAACAAAAACAAACCTATTAAAACCACACAAGGCTATAAAACAGGAAATGAATAATAATAGACTGTGTAAGTATAACAAAATTAAATCCTTAGAAATCTACAAAATGGTGTACCAGGTACAGAAATACAGTCCCAGAAAAGTGTCCTTTCTTATCACACGTTTCCATGACATGTTCTTGGTTATGGCTTCATGGCAGCATATGAAATAGAGCATAAGAATAGGAGACAAAATGTCTACTACTAATACTGTCTAAAGAATCCCAGGTTTGACACAGAGCGTTTCCGTCTGCTCTTTTAAATGTAAGTAGATTCTTATTTCATAATTTCATACTTATCAATACAGAGAGCTCTATTTGTTTTATTCTCTTGTCCCATGTGGTCCACCCTCTGCCGTGGATTATTGCCAGAGGGGTATCCGGTAAGTGGGGATTTCTATGACTGTATGCTGATTTATCCAGAGCTGATTTTGGCTCCATCCCGTGTGAGTTGGCATTTGGAATGCCTGTGTTGTGTGTCCTACAATCTGATTTGACATTTTGCACTAGTGGGGGTTTTTTTCTCCTGTACTTCTGGCCTCTTTTACATGCAGAAACTTGTGATGAGAAAGGACATTTTTCTGGGACTGTATTGATATACCTGGTACACCATTTTGTATATTTCTAAAGATTATTATTTTTTTTGTTATACTAGCACAGTGTATTATTATTGTCTGTTTTAATATACTCATGTTGTTTTTATATATTTTTTATTCTTGGTGCTACCTATACACTATCTTTGTGCTTCTGCCAGCTGTCTTTCCCATCTCTCCCCTCTTTTTAAGTATCTGCCCGCTGTGTGCCTACCAGTGTCTGCCCGCTGTGTGCCCATCATACCAGCCAGTTTGTGTCCGTTACTTGGCTTCTTGTAATTGCTGGCTGTAAATAGAGATTGAGAGAGAAAATAGTGGGAATTAATAAAAGTGTTTTATTACTATATGAAGATCTATGTATTTCATGCAGGTTAAGGATTTCTTACCTGTCTCCAAGTCTTGTTCTAATTTTTCTGCAATTCGATTTTGGTCGATTTGCCGCAGCACCTCGAGGGTCACCGTTACCCCGTAGGGATTGGAATAAGCTGCAAGAATGAGATCTGCAACATCGTCTTCGTCCGCCTTCTCCAGACGTGCCTTCGGAATGCTCCTGTACGGTTCTATCACTGGAAACTCATTCAGTTTGTTCCGGAATTTCTTAAAGTTTCTTTCACCTAATTCTTCCAGGTTTCTGACCAGCACGTCTCGCACGGTAAAACACATTTTTTCTCATAATGTTGTTTCCTGCTTCGCTCAGCAATAGATATATAATAACTGTATGTACTTCCTCATTGTTGCCTTTACACCCCCTCCCCCTTCCCTTCACTGCTTGCCCTCCAATAGCCAGCCATCTGTGTAACATCCTACCTGATATTGTAAATATAACATTTGTAACCATTCTTTTCTCCGTTCCCGCCACTCCCCCTCCCTCCGCAGGGCTTCTAAGAAATCACGTGTGTTACTGTAAAGCTGTAGGGTACGTTCTGGATGGGTGTGGCTTGTCTGGACAGTTTATTTACTAAGAAGGAGAATTGTGAAAGACTGTAAATTGTAAACCAAAAGAAACTATTTAAAAAGTAGCAGAATTATAATTAGTTTCAGCTTATTTATATGATTCCCTTGTCGTTTCTATGCAGTTTAGTAAGTAGCCCCCTGTGAGTGCCTGTATAGAGAAGGCCCCTCCAGTGAGACACTGCGGCTTGTTAAAATCAAAAACACAAACAAAAACACACAAAAGGTCTGAATTGTAGCTCATTAACGCAGGTGGCAAAATTCTGGCTAAAGTAGCGCAGCTGTGACTAAAGCATTGTTGGGGAGTTTTTCCATTTATAGCCTAAATGTTGCAATTCAAATTTCAATTTGTTACAATTTGCTGTTTAGTGAATAAACCCTTTGTATTGTTTGCAGGTAATTATCAACGGGGCAGTTGTAGACCCCGTACACTGCAACCAGTCGATTTAATAATTTATTAAAACATTTCACCCGGATTAACCCCTTAAGGACACGACATGTGTGACATTTCATGATTCCCTTTTATTCCAGAAGTTTGGTCCTTAAGGGGTTAAAAGAACACTCTAGGCACCATAACAACTTCAGTGGCATGAAGTTGTTATGGTGCATGAAGGTCCTGGCTTCAGCTTATCTTTAGGGGTTAAACCACGAAGGAATGAAGTTCGATTGGAGTCTTGAATCCAGCACTGATTGGCTCTGCCCCCTCTTTGCGCTTTTCTCCAAAGCTTGAATCAGAAGTCTTGGAGAGGGGCACCGCTGGTTGGCTGATGCTCTAAGCCAATAAGTAGCTCTCCCTTAACAAAATGGCTTGAGAAAAATACAAACATTTCTCGAGGTGTTATGTATCAACTGACACTCTAAGTCAGTTAGTGGCATTTCTGTCTGAGGCTTCCAGACTCAAATTTTGAAGAAAAGTGGAAAAAGAGGGATGGATTCAAGACTTTGGGGTTAAACCCTTTGTTAATGGGTTAACCCCTAATGGTAAGTTGGCACAAGGGACCTCCTGGCACCATAACAACTTTAGTCCGATGAAGTTATTAAGAGGCCTGGAGGTTCTCTATATTTCAGCAAACTATTACACCAATTCCAAGCATTCTTTAGTTCATTTATCACTGAAAGTATATTCAAGGTATCTACTACTCTTTCAACATCACTTTTAGTCTTTATTGTTTCCACTGAAATCCCATTCCAGGTATCTACTACCCTTTCTATATCCCTGTTACTGCTCCCACTGGAAGGCTATTGCAGGTATCTACTACCCTTTCTATATCACTGTTACTGCTCCCACTGGAAGGCTATTCCAGGTATCTGCTACCCCTTCTATATCGCTGTTACTGCTCCCACTAGTAGGCTATTCCAGGTATCTACTACCCTTTCTGTATCACTGTTACTGCTCCCACTAGAAGGCTATTCCAGGTATCTACTACCCTTTCTATATCACTGTTACTGCTGCCACTGGAAGGCTATTCCAGGTATCTACTACCCTTTCTATATCACTGTTACTGCCCCCACTGGAAGGCTATTCCAGGTATCTACTACCCTTTCTGTATCACTGTTACTGCTCCCACTAGAAGGCTATTCCAGGTATCTACTACCCTCTCTATATCACTGTTACTGCTGCCACTGGAAGGCTATTCCAGGTATCTACTACACTTTCTATATCACTGTTACTGCTCCTACTGGAACGTTATTCCAGGTATCTACTACCTTTTCTAGATCACTGTTACTGCTCCCATTGGAAGGCTATTCTAGGTATCTACTACCATTTCTATAAGTTAACATTTACTTAACTTTCCCTCAGTCTTCTACCCATCTATTTTTACTGCCAGCCTCTCTAGAGTTAGTCTATGAATGTGCTTGGTTGGCGGGACAGGTCTGTATACAATAAACCATGCAGACAGCCTGATGATGGAATGTGCATGGTGTGACGTTGTATCCCTCCATTCTCCATCATTCGGCAGGATATAGGATCCAGGGTACAGCATTCTCCGTCATTCGGCAGGCTGTACGATCCAGAGTACAGCATTCTCTGTCATTCGGAAGGATATAGGATCCAGGGTACAGCATTCTCCGTCATTCGGCAGGATATAGGATCCAGGGTACAGCGTTCTCTGTAATTCAGCAGGATATAGGATCCAGGGTACAGCATTCTCTGTAATTCAGCAGGATATAGGATCCAGGGTACAGCATTCTCCGTAATTCGGAAGGCTATGGGATCCAGGGCAAGGCATTCTCCATCATTCGGCAGGATATAGGATCCAGGGTACAGCGTTCCCCGTCATTCGGCAGGATATAGGATTCAGGGTACAGCATTCTCTGTAATTCGGAAGGCTATATGATCCAGGGTAGAGCATTCTCCCTCATTCGGCAGGATATAGGATCCAGGGTACTGCATTCTCCCTCATTCGGCAGGATATAGGATCCAGGGTACTGCATTCTCTGTCATTCGGCAGGATATAGAATCCAGGGTGCAGCATTCTACATCATTCAGCAGGATATAGGATCCAGGGTACAGCATTCTACGTCATTCGGGAAGGCTATAGGATCCAGGGTACAGCATTCTACGTAATTCGGAAGGCTATAGGATCCAGGGTACTGCATTCTCTGTCATTCGGCAGGATATAGAATCCAGGGTGCAGCATTCCCTGTCATTCAGCAGGATATAGGATCCAGGGTACAGCATTCTCCGTAATTCGGCAGGATATAAGATCCAGGGTACAGCGTTCTCTGTCATTCGGCAGGATATAGGATCGAGGGTACAGCATTCTCTGTAATTCAGCATGATATAGGATCCAGGCTACAGCTTTCTCTGTAATTCGGCAGGATATAGGATCCAGAGTACAGCATTCTCCGTCATTCGTCAGGATATAGGATCCAGGGTACAGCGTTTTCTGTAATTCAGCAGGATATAGCATGCAGGGTACAGCATTCTCCGTAATTCGGCAGGATATTGGATCCAGGGTACAGCATTCTCCGTCATTCAGCAGGGTATAGGATCCAGGGTACAGCATTCTCCGTCATTCAGCAGGGTATAGGATCCAGGGTACAGCATTCTCTGTCATTCGGCAGGATGTAGGATCCAGTGTACAGCATTCTCCATCATTCGGCAGGATATAGGATCCAGTGTACAGCATTCTCCATCATTTGGCAGGATGTAGGATCCAGGGTACAGCTTTCTCCGTCATTCGGCAGGATATAAGATCCAGGGTACAGCTTTCTCTGTAATTCGGCAGGATATAGGATCCAGGGTACAGCATTCTCCGTCATTGGTCATGATATAGGATCCAGAGTACAGCATTCTCCGTCATTTGTCAGGATATAGGATCCAGGGTACAGCGTTTTCTGTAATTCAGCAGGATATAGGATCCAGGGTACAGCATTCTCCGTCATTCAGCAGGGTATAAGATCCAGGGTACAGCATTCTCTGTCATTCGGCAGGATGTAGGATCCAGTGTACAGCATTCTCTGTCATTCGGCAGGATATAGGATCCAGGGTACAGCATTCTCCATCATTTGGCAGGATGTAGGATCCAGTGTACAGCATTCTCCGTCATTCGGCAGGATATAGGATCCAGGGTACAGCATTCTCCGTCATTCGGCAGGATATAGGATCCAGGGTACCGCATTCTACGTAATTCAGCAGGATGTAGGATCCAGGGTACAGCATTCTCTGTAATTCAGCATGATATAGGATCCAGGCTACAGCTTTCTCTGTAATTCGGCAGGATATAGGATCCAGGGTACAGCATTCTACGTAATTTGGAAGGTTATAGGATCCAGGGCACAGCATTCTCCATCATTTGGCAGGATATAGGTTCCAGGGTACAGCATTCTCTGTAATTCGGAAGGTTATAGGATCCAGGGTACAGCATTCTCCGTAATTCGGAAGGCTATAGGATCCAGGATACAGCATTCTCCGTCATTCGGCAGGATATAGGATCCAGGGTAGAGCATTCTCTGTCATTCGTCAGGATATAGGATCCAGGGCACAGCATTCTCCGTCATTCGTCAGGATATAGGATCCAGGGTACAGCATTCTCTGTAATTCAGCATGATATAGGATCCAGGCTACAGCATTCTCCCTCATTCGGCAGGATATAGGATCCAGGGTACAGCATTCTCCATCATTTGGAAGGCTATAGGATCCAGGGTACAGCAATCTCTGTAATTCAGCATGATATAGGATCCAGGCTACAGCATTCTCCCTCATTCGGCAGGATATAGGATCCAGGGCACAGCATTCTCAGTCATTCGTCAGGATATAGGATCCAGGGTACAGCATTCTCTGTAATTCAGCATGATATAGGATCCAGGCTACAGCATTCTCCCTCATTCGGCAGGATATAGGATCCAGGGTACAGCATTCTTCGTCATTTGGAAGGCTATAGGATCTAAGGTACAGCATTCTCTGTCACTCAGCAGGATATAGGATCCAGGGTACAGCGTTCTCCGTCATTCGGTAGGCTATATGATCCAGTTGACAGCATTCTCCATCATTCGACAGGAAATAGGATCCAGGGTACAGCTTTCTCCGTCATTCGACAGGATGTAGGAGCTAGGGCACAGCATTCTCCGTCATTCGGCAGGATGTAGGAACCAGGGCACATCATTCTCCATCATTCGGCAGGATATAGGATCTAGGGTACAGCATTCTACATAATTCGGAAGGCTATAAGATCCAGGGTACAGCATTCTACGTAATTCGGAAGGCAATAGGATCCAGGGTACAGCATTCTCCATCATTTGGCAGGATGTAGGATCCAGGGCACAGCATTCTCCGTCATTTGGTAGGATTTAGGATCCAGGGTACTGCATTCTCTGTAATTCGGCAGGTTATAGAATCCAAGGTACAGCATTCTACATAATTCAGAAGGCTATAGGATCCAGGGTACAGCATTCTACGTAATTCGGAAGGCTATAGGATCCAGGGCACAGCATTCTCCATCATTCGGCAGGATATAGGATCCAGGGCACCGCATTCTCCGTAATTTGGCAGGATGTAGGATCCAGGGTACAGCATTCTCCATAATTTGGCAGGATGTAGGATCCAGGGTACAGCATTCTCCGTAATTTGGCAGGATGTAGGATCCAGGGTACAGCATTCTCCGTAATTTGGCAGGATATAGAATCCAGGGTACTGCATTCTCCGTAATTCGGCAGGATATAGGATCCAGGGCACAGCACTCTCCATCATTTGGCAGGATATAGGATCCAGGGCACCGCATTCTCCGTAATTTGGCAGGATATAGGATCCAGGGTACAGCATTCTCCATCATTTGGCAGGATGTAGGTTCCAGGGTACAGCATTCTCCGTCATTCGGCAGGATATAAGATCCAGGGTACAGCTTTCTCTGTAATTCGGCAGGATATAGGATCCAGGGTACAGCATTCTCCGTCATTCGTCATGATATAGGATCCAGAGTACAGCATTCTCCGTCATTCGTCAGGATATAGGATCCAGGGTACAGCGTTTTCTGTAATTCAGCAGGATATAGCATGCAGGGTACAGCATTCTCCGTCATTCGGCAGGATGTAGGATCCAGTGTACAGCATTCTCCATCATTCGGCAGGATATAGGATCCAGGGTACAGCATTCTCCATCATTTGGCAGGATGTAGGATCCAGTGTACAGCATTCTCCGTCATTCGGCAGGATATAGGATCCAGGGTACAGCATTCTCCGTCATTCAGCAGGATATAGGATCCAGGGTACCGCATTCTACGTAATTCAGCAGGATGTAGGATCCAGGGTACAGCATTCTCTGTAATTCAGCATGATATAGGATCCAGGCTACAGCTTTCTCTGTAATTCGGCAGGATATAGGATCCAGGGTACAGCATTCTACGTAATTTGGAAGGTTATAGGATCCAGGGCACAGCATTCTCCGTCATTTGGCAGGATATAGGTTCCAGGGTACAGCATTCTCCGTAATTCGGAAGGCTATAGGATCCAGGATACAGCATTCTCCGTCATTCGGCAGGATATAGGATCCAGGGTAGAGCATACTCTGTCATTTGTCAGGATATAGGATCCAGGGCACAGCATTCTCCGTCATTCGTCAGGATATAGGATCCAGGGTACAGCATTCTCTGTAATTCAGCATGATATAGGATCCAGGCTACAGCATTCTCCCTCATTCGGCAGGATATAGGATCCAGGGTACAGCATTCTCCGTCATTTGGAAGGCTATAGGATCCAGGGTACAGCATTCTCTGTAATTCAGCATGATATAGGATCCAGGCTACAGCATTCTCCCTCATTCGTCAGGATATAGGATCCAGGGCACAGCATTCTCTGTCATTCGTCAGGATATAGGATCCAGGCTACAGCATTCTCCCTCATTCGGCAGGATATAGGATCCAGGGTACAGCATTCCTCGTCATTTGGAAGGCTATAGGATCCAAGGTACAGCATTCTCTGTCACTCGGCAGGAAATAGGATCCAGGGTACAGCATTCTCTGTAATTCAGCATGATATAGGATCCAGGCTACAGCATTCTCCCTCATTCGGCAGGATATAGGATCCAGGGTACAGCATTCTCCGTCATTTGGAAGGCTATAGGATCCAGGGTACAGCATTCTCTGTAATTGAGCATGATATAGGATCCAGGCTACAGCATTCTCCCTCATTCGTCAGGATATAGGATCCAGGCTACAGCATTCTCCCTCATTCGGCAGGATATAGGATCCAGGGTACAGCATTCTTCGTCATTCGTCATGATATAGGATCCAGAGTACAGCATTCTCCGTCATTCGTCAGGATATAGGACCCAGGGTACAGCGTTTTCTGTAATTCAGCAGGATATAGCATGCAGGGTACAGCATTCTCCATCATTCGGCAGGATATAGGATCCAGGGTACAGCATTCTCCATCATTTGGCAGGATGTAGGATCCAATGTACAGCATTCTCCATCATTCGGCAGGATATAGGATCCAGGGTACAGCATTCTCCGTCATTCAGCAGGATATAGGATCCAGGGTACCGCATTCTCCGTAATTCAGCAGGATGTAGGATCCAGGGTACAGCATTCTCTGTAATTCAGCATGATATAGGATCCAGGCTACAGCTTTCTCCGTAATTCGGAAGGCTATAGGATCCAATGTACAGCATTCTCCGTCATTCGGCAGGATATAGGATCCAGGGTACAGCATTCTCCGTCATTCAGCAGGATATAGGATCCAGGGCACAGCATTCTCCGTCATTTGGCAGGATATAGGTTCCAGGGTACAGCATTCTCCGTAATTCGGAAGGCTATAGGATCCAGGATACAGCATTCTCCGTCATTCGGCAGGATATAGGATCCAGGGTAGAGCATACTCTGTCATTTGTCAGGATATAGGATCCAGGGCACAGCATTCTCCGTCATTCGTCAGGATATAGGATCCAGGGTACAGCATTCTCTGTAATTCAGCATGATATAGGATCCAGGCTACAGCATTCTCCCTCATTCGGCAGGATATAGGATCCAGGGTACAGCATACTCCGTCATTTGGAAGGCTATAGGATCCAGGGTACAGCATTCTCTGTAATTCAGCATGATATAGGATCCAGGCTACAGCATTCTCCCTCATTCGTCAGGATATAGGATCCAGGGCACAGCATTCTCTGTCATTCGTCAGGATATAGGATCCAGGCTACAGCATTCTCCCTCATTCGGCAGGATATAGGATCCAGGGTACAGCATTCCTCGTCATTTGGAAGGCTATAGGATCCAAGGTACAGCATTCTCTGTCACTCGGCAGGAAATAGGATCCAGGGTACAGCATTCTCTGTAATTCAGCATGATATAGGATCCAGGCTACAGCATTCTCCCTCATTCGGCAGGATATAGGATCCAGGGTACAGCATTCTCCGTCATTTGGAAGGCTATAGGATCCAGGGTACAGCATTCTCTGTAATTCAGCATGATATAGGATCCAGGCTACAGCATTCTCCCTCATTCGTCAGGATATAGGATCCAGGGCACAGCATTCTCTGTCATTCGTCAGGATATAGGATCCAGGCTACAGCATTCTCCCTCATTCGGCAGGATATAGGATCCAGGGTACAGCATTCTTCGTCATTTGGAAGGCTATAGGATCCAAGGTACAGCATTCTCTGTCACTCGGCAGGAAATAGTATCCAGGGTACAGCTTTCTCCCTCATTCGACAGGATGTAGGAGCCAGGGCACAGCATTCTCCGTCATTCGGAAGGCAATAGGATCAAGGCAGTGGCGTACTAAGGGCGGGGCGGGGGGGGCGGTCCGCCCCGGGTGCCACCAGGGTGGGGGGTGCCATGACCAGCCCCGCCACCCCCCCATGCTGCAGCCGCCCGAGCGCTCTGTAGAGAGCCTCAGGCGGCTGCAGCTTTGCCCAGGCGGTGCGTCCATGAGGGCGGACCGCACCGCCCGGGCGCAACCTGAGGAGAGGCTGACAGGAGGGACACGCTCAGCGCTCCCCGCTCCCTCCTGTCAGCTTCCTTTGCTGTAGCG